TATCGTACCACTTGCAATGTTACAGTGCCACTTTGTGGAGCATTGTGAAATTTAGGGAAACTTCTATTCGCCAGCCACTTTTTTTTAAGTATGCAATTTATGTACTGGCATGAATAACACGTGTACACCTCAATATGGGATCATTTATACATAAGGAAACAACATATATTCTCAAGTCTATTGATTCACATCATCTAATACACATACTGAATTATGTTACCTCATGAAAAATCTCTAAGATTAGCCTGAAATTTTCATTTAACATTATATTTTAGGCTTCTATAAGTATCAAGGAAATAAAGCAAAAAGTCATGGTGGAACACATAAATAAATCACTAGTAAAGCAATGTAATAAGTAAAAGATAATTGCATTATCTTGAAAAGAAAGTACAACAGTTTAGTTCTTTAATGCTATAGTAATTCAGAGCATTAAAAAAAAAAAAAGGAAAAAAGTACTTAAGAACCAGATAGTTATGTTTTAGCAGTCAACATTCCATGACTGATGTAACCTTCACATTAAGCTTTACAAAAGCTCATTACTTTTCAAAAGTTCATTGCCAATGCTGCCAAATTCTCCGTATCAGTCCTTTTAAATCTATGTTGAGTGTAGATGAAAGTGAACATGTCCACACCAGAAGACACTTCATTAGGATCCAGGAGAACAGAAAGGACATCTCCTTAGTAGATACACAGGTACAACGTAAAAATCACTTGGGAGAAACAATGAAAAGATGGCAAAATGCCCTCTGGTACTGTGGCATGTTTCTTAGCAACACAGAAAAACAATTCTCTGCTAACAAACTGTCAAGCAGTAATTGTTTACAGATCATAGTTCAGAAACTGAATTCCAAATGAAGCTAGGGATATTTATGTCCCTAATAATATTAAACTGTATCACCTTTTGCAGATTTAATACCCAGATTTTATACAACAAGAATGATTTCTTAAGATAGTTTGCTTCAGGCATATAGAGTGTGTATCTAAATGAACCAGGGCATCATCTTCACAAGATCACAAGATGGGTATTTAATTTTTTTTACAGCATAGATCTATGTGTAGTGTATGAGCAAAGTGATAAATGCTGGGGTCGGAACGTATTATTCGATGTCCGTATCTGAATGGCAGGTCGCCAAGAGAAGAAATTTGGACTCTCGGAAGAAATGCTTCTCTACAAACAGAGCTATCTTCATTTTCCCACTTGTTCTGAAAAATGTGTTCCCACTTTCAATTTCAACAGAGGGTGACATGGCATTGCCCCCAGCTGTGACAACGTTTCTCTCCTGCCTTCTCTGCAAGCAAGCATCTATGGCCATGCTCACGGACATTTAATTCATTTGCTAAAATGGTGAAATGAACACCCTCTTTTTTGAATTGTTTTATTATTAAAATTATGTTAGATATATCTTTGGAAGTTGGTGACTCTCTACTGATTTCCTTTCATTGGATAAGTCACACAGTTTGCAAGTAAGTTAGTTTTACAGTGCCATACATGTGAAAAGCTGTGCTTTCACAGTATGTTTTTTAATAGAGAAATGAAACTGTTTTTGCTGTCAATAAATATTTATTATCGATTACAAATTCTAGAGATTCTTCAAGCGTTCATGTAACTCATCACCCAAAACTTATTAAAGAAAGTAGAAAGTATACTTCCTCTTAGAAGCATTTCAGGGAGCATGTTGTGGATAATGTGGATAATACCTCAAGTAAAATGTATTAATTTATTAAACTTAAATATTACAACTTAATAACTAAGACAGGAAGAGCAATTAATTAGAATACTCAAGTTAGTATTTTCTGAATTCTGTCCTTATAATACTATAACCTTTGAAAAATCTTATTTAATGTTCCCCTTACTTGATCATATTTAGGATATGTATGCAAACTAGTCTGTGATAGAGATAAGCTTGTCAGCAGAAGGAATCTTACGTTTTATATAAATTACACTACCACTATAAATATCCATGACAAAAGGGTAAATAAAACATTCTTACCCAAAAAATATACCACTCTAATAGTCTAAAGAGTAAAGTATAAATGGTTTCATTTGTGATGTTTGTTATTGTTTTGTTTGCTCTTATAACTTAAGATAATATTTTAGAAATATAAAATAGAATGACAATGATTAATTTTGAAACACTGAGGGGTGCTTGGCTGGCTCAGTTGGTAGCGTGCATGATTTCTGATCTCAGTGTTGTGAGTTTGAGTCCCACCTTGGGTGTGATTACTTGAAATAGACAAATGAATGAATGAATGAATGAATAAATAAATAAATAAGTAAAATCTTTTAATAGAAAGAAACATTGATATTGCATTTTTCATTAAGTTGTAACTCCGTGTTAATAGAAAATACTATGTAGCAATCATATGATGCAATTTATGTTTCAGTCATTTTTGACAGTTTTCAGGCATCTAATGCCTATATTGGGCATATTATAATATTTGTGAAGGTGTGATCACACACCTTAATGCTTTAGAACTTTTAGTTAGTTGGAATCAAAAGTAAAGAAAACTCTGATATTTTGCTGCAGTTACGGATCTGAGGAAATCTGCTTTACATTGTCAAAAACTTCATAATGTATGTCATCTGTCTCCACCTTGTGGTGGTTGTAAATATTGCTACATCCTAGTTTTGCATTACTTCCTAGACATATGTAAGAGAGGTTGGTTGAATGGCTATGGAAAAATAGAAATGCTTGTCTACTTTTAGATTTTTACTTTTAGACACTAGAAATACAGAAAATAATTTCACATGACAGAAAACTTCAGATACACCATGATATCAAAATGTTAGCTCATCCAAAGCATTTCTAAATTTTTTTGCCAATGTTATTAGTCATTTCTTGCAAAAATTTCAGATAATTATATAATCTCATAGTTTAAAATTTTTTTTTCAACGTTTTTTATTTATTTTTGGGACAGAGAGACAAAGCATGAACGGGGGAGGGGCAGAGAGAGAGGGAGACACAGAATCGGAAACAGGTTCCAGGCTCCGAGCCATCAGCCCAGAGCCATCAGCCCAGAGCCCGACGCAGGGCTCGAACCCACGGACCGCGAGATCGTGACCTGGCTGAAGTCGGACGCTTAACCGACTGCACCACCCAGGCGCCCCTATAATCTCATAGTTAAATTGGATATATGAAGAGTTCATTCAACATATCTCTATGTCTAAACAAACTTTCGCTTAGAATTTCATAGCACATTCAGGCTCTGTATGACACTTTCTAGGAAAGTCACAAAACAAAGAAAATTGTTGTCTCCCTTTTCCTCAGGAAAAGTGTAAATCTTCAGTAATATTTCTCAGATTCCTGAATCAGAAGCTTTCTTCTATACTTTAAAGAAATTCCTAACTTACAATTATACATTATTTTCTTCCTTTGTTCCATTTGATACAAGAACAGAGGGTATTGCAGGGATCCAGGGACATTGCTTTGCCTTCAGGGATTTATGGTCTGTTTTAATTTTTTGTCTGTTTGTTTGTTTGTTTTTAAATATTTGTTTGTTTATTTTGAAAGAGAGCGGTGGGGGGGAGGGGGACATGCATGAGCAGGGAAGGGGGAGCGAGAGGGAGGGAGAGTGAGAATCCCAAGCAAGCTACTTGCTGTCAGGGCAGAATCCCCACTTGGGGCTCCATATCACGAATCATGAGACCATGCTCTGAACCGAAATCAAGAATCAGAAACTTACGGACTGAGCCACCCAGGAGCCTCTGTTCCAATTTTGTTTTAGTGGCTGGGAAATCTTCACAAAAAATGTCCAATTGACAGATTATCTGTCAGTTCATGTCTAAGTTAGAGAAAGCTGTCTAATCAGATACTCTTAGGAAACAATTTGACATGATCTAATCTGAGCGATAAAGTTCCTATCCGGCTGAGTTTGCCTGCTATTCTATTAACTAAGCATATTTTCCACTTATGGACTTCATGTTTTGCTGCATGGAAAGCTAAATACTGTAAAGAGAAGTTAAAATTGTATTGGTTTGCAAAAACTACCACAAAATCCACCCGAAGGCCTTAGTCCCTCACGCAGTCACACTGCCTATAACAGTAGAGTTTCTTGATTCCCTCACGGTTTTGATATACATTGAACGTGCTCTCACTTGTGTCCACGCTCCACAGTGCAATGTATCAAGCCAGCACCTAGTTAAATGCACACTGCACAATACAGAGAATTGTGTATCATCTAGTGAGAATATAATTTGTCTTTAACACAGACTTCCACCATACCTCCTTTCTTCCTGATGATTTTGTGATTTGATATTTCCATTCTGCACTCTTCAAGAAAATAAAACAAACATGGATAACTTGTCTCTTTAGGGAAAACTAAGGTCACATTATTTCTGTGATAGATTAAATATCTATCCTAATTATGCCTCAATTTCTGATGCCCAAAAGACTTACGGCATTTATGTTAACTGAAGCTAAATATTCAAATAAGTTTAATATAAATTTATCAATTTATAATAATTGTTCATAAAACATGAGAAGGCAAAAGAGGAGGAAATATTTTTGGGAGAAAGATTTTAGACTTGGGTATACAATTAACCACTTTAAATTTTTTATAATGTGTCATTTATTTTTGAGGGAGAGAAAGGGACAGAATATGAGCAGGGGAGGGACAGAGAGAGAGGGAGACACAGAACCTGAAGCAGGCTCCAGGCTCTGAGCTGTCAGCCCAGAGCCCGACGCAGGGCTCAAACCCACTCAAACTGCGAGATCATGACCTGAGCCAAAGTCGGATGCTTAACTGACTGCACCATCCAGGCACCCCTACAATTAAACACTTTAGAATGTATGAGTCTACTTCCTTAAAATGTTCTTTAGAATGAAAAGCCCTGAAGAAAGCTAGAATTCAGGAGGGGGCAGTTTGAAAACATGAAACTGTGCTGGTAAGAACTCCATTCCAAAAGCCATTAACACTGCTCAAATATTGGACTTAGTATGTAATTTACAAGGCTAATACCTTAGCCTTATGCCATAATGATGTAACAGGCAAACACTTACCTTTTTCATTTCCATTTGCATAATTTGGAGGCTTGTTTTTGTCAATGCTGTTAAAGCTCTGACTTCTCCTATTTAAATTAGAGGCTCCCTGGGCTTTACTGCTGCTGCCTGCAGCTGGCACCCTAGAGGGACCTGGAAGCCTGAAATAGTATAAGAAAAACTACATCATTATTGTATATTGCAAAAACATAGGGGTAGGAGGTGCTGAGCAGGGAAGCCTTAATGGGAAAGGCACAATATAGGATGTTCTAAAATCTATTTAGCAGAAAATTGGTGGCTTACGTGATAAATGGCTAAACACAAGGATTAAGAATCTTCAGAAAAATCTTGTCTCACTTTTCAATAAATCTGCCCTCAAATGATATTAACAATGTAGAACAATTAGAAATAATGTAACCTTTAACTTAAAAAGTCATTCTTACCATACCCCTAATAATAATAATAATAATAATAATAATAATAATAAAATTTTGACTTAAAACTACTATAACAATTACATGAAAAGCAAGGGAAATAACAACACAAATTTATTATGTTCTCAGGGTATTAATCACCTATTTGCAGTTATTATTAAGTTGTTCTTTTCAATGTATGGGGCATTTGTTTTTATCCTCAGCTCATAGCTGTAGCCTAAGTCAACTTGATAATAAGAAAAATAAAGGTACTGAAAAAACTGCTAACAGCAAATGCTTATAGTATATCTAAGGTAGTAAACTACTCTTATTAAAACATGGTGCAGAGACAAGGTCATGAATTAATTTATATTTCATTGGTCTGCCTCAATTTTTTTTTTCTGTAACTGTTTTACCAAAAATAAGTACCAAGACTCTACTGGTTATCTTGCAAGTGTGGCCAACTGATCACAGAGGTGATATAACAAGAAAGGATGAAGGTCTCAGAGCAAGAAAATCTCTATGAGCAGAATGATAATGTAAAATACACCTACAGTGACAGTAACTTTAGCTATTCTTTGTGTATGGAAGACAGACCACAAGGAAATACAGACAGACTGTCTTAAAATTAGGGTAAGTTTCACATTAGGGTGTGATTTAGAGTTATTTTACATGGACTAACACTAAATACCAATGTGGATAATTTATTTCACTGCTAAAGTAGTTTCCACAATAAAATTTCAAGTATCAATTATTTCATGAATTGTGCCTAAAACATACAATCACTATATTTTATTTTATACTATTAACATACTGTATGTATAATAAATAATCTGTATCAATTAAAACTAGTCATTAGGAACCAATGTTGGCGTCCTAGGTCCTATTTAAAAACATGATCTTAAAGGATGTCAGCATCTTTGCCAGCATTTGCTGCCATCGTGTGAATGTCACTGTGTACTTCTCTGACATTTTCTATTTTAAAAGAAAAAAATCCAGAACTTGAAAATGAAGCACTGAAATTTTTACTGTTCTCTCATATTATATTTTTTAAATGAAAGTATAAAATAAAAATAACTGTTATATTGATGCACAATATATCACAATTTCAAGATAAGTTGTTACTATATTCGTACTTTAACCCACCTTTATAATTGATACATTACCTCCATAGATTATTAGGAAATCAAACTCTTAAATACTATAGGTACCTTTAAAAAATAGCAACAGGTATTGCAACATGGAATGAACATCAGGAAAACTCAAGTACCAGCTTAAAAACAGAAGTTCTGCTTTCTTGGAATACTTGGTAATTTCAAAATGTTGATTGTATTTTGGAGTTTAAATACATATGGCTAATAAATAGCTCCTTCGGCTGTTTTGCCGATTAGAAATTGCCTCACACATGAGATTGGAACCTTTTCGATGATTCCAGCATTAACTTTTGCTCAAATGGATCCACAGGGTATGTAAGGACACCACAATTAACTACAGACACCAAGAATTTTGAGTACCAGTGACTGCACTCTGCAGAAAGAACTCAATTAATTAATTTGGCCAAATGTCCCAATCATAATAAATCTGAGAACTACTCCTGCAGACACAGCTACAGACTTAGAAAGTTCATTCCAAACTCACATGTATAAACACATTTTGTCACACAACTTGCCCTGCTTGCAATGAAACTTGACCTGTTTCTAGAAAGCAATTAAAATACATTTTAATCTTTACCGTGACCCATGAAGCCAAATGATCTTCAGTTCTCAGAAGAACAAATTAAAACAAATTAAAAAATCCATTTGCTCTTCTCATTACCCTAATGTGACAGGCAGCCAGAGTTCCAGATCATTCATCAAAGTAATAAAAAGAGAAATAAGAATGAAGCCAAAAAAAGACAAGAGAGAGAGATATTCTATTAAATCAAAGTACTAAAGTATATTTTATATGCATGAGCCTTAGAAGTGGTAATAAAAAAATGCTTATTGTACATGGCAGGTCACTGTTCTTTGCACATCTGATTTCATATAATTTTTCTTACTTTTAATTAAATACCCTTTACATTTTTCTCTCCAGAATCGTTTAAATTACTATGGAAATGAACATAACTTAGAAAACCAGGGCAAGAGGAAAAGAACATACCTCAAGTCAAGGCATCAGAAGCAGTCCTTGTGGTCAAACAGTGCATAGTATGTATGATACATTATCAGAGCAGTGATTAGGGAGCCACCCCTGAGATACTCCTCCAGTGAGAGAGGTGGCACATATAATCACATAATAATCAGGGGTGCAAAACACATTTGCTGTGGCTCCACTCAGCTGCACCATTGTGCCTTTGGTAACTTAACAGTTTTAAAAACACATCACTTTCAGCATCAGTTATAAAGCAGTTATTTTCCATAATGCAGTCATTTACTATAACAGACTGTCTTTAAAATATGCATGTCATAAAGAAGCAACAATTTAAACTATTATAGATAAAAGAACAGTCCAGGTTAACCTGGTGACCTGGTGCTAACCTACCCACAAATACCTGCCAATATTCCTCAATTCTGCTTCAAAACATGCAGTAGTTAATGCATGCCCATTTCAAAAAGCAATCACATTCTTGTGTGACTTCCAGATTCTGTAACCTGGAAAGAATGGGGCCTTCAAAGTCATGTTTTCCTTGACTTTCTCTAAGCCTAGAAGCTAGACTTCAGCCCAGTTATAACACTATATGTAACAAAACCAAAACAGAAGAAGCCAAAACCCATTTAATGATCTAACACAGACACGCTCATCCCTGAGAATGTGTATGCAAATCCAGTTGGAGGAATTCATCCCTCTAAACTTTTCATCCAGAAGTATGTGATTTATGAAAAAAATTTAGAATGATAGGACAAAATATCACTGGGCAGTTACTTTATTATCACTAACAAGCAATAAATTAGAGATATTAACTGACCTAGTAGGCTTTTTTTGACTGGTTGCAATTCCACTGTGATTAGATTGAGTTGCATATCTGGCTGCCAGACTGTATGAGGAGAAACAGAGAAATTGAATTAAAGAGATTCTTTGAACATGGAAAGAAAGCACAAAATTACAAGAAAACTAGGAGTTAATGAAATGCAATTGGAACATGTATAAGCATGTATAAAGAATAAATTAATTAGAAAATTATGATAATGCAACACATATACCATGAACTTTGATTAATGAACACACTATGAAATAATGCCATGCACCCCTTGTCACGGTATCATCAATGATGTTAAAATTATGGTTGTGTGATATCGTTCATATTATCTTAAGTAGTACTTCATTGCACAAAAAATTCAATGTTTGTAAATGACTATGAAAACTTCAGGAAAGCTAAAGTCTGACTTTACATGGTACAAAGATATCCTTCTCAAAAAGGTTAAAATGAACAGAAAACATGTAAGAGTCATTATCTTCTTTAACAAGTTCTTCTAATTTGATGCTTTAACCAAAATGCTATCTTGAAAACCAAATGACTAAAACATCTGGTGTCTGACAAATGTAATGTGTTGTATCTTGAATGCACCTAGAATGTTTTAAGGAAGTGAACAATACAAGATGTTTCTCTAAAGAGAGAGCTATGCAAAAGTCAAATGGATTAAACTAGAGTTAAATTCTTCAAAAACAAACTCAACAACTGTTAATGACAACTTCTGGGCATTCTTGAACAATAATTCTTAATAATTTTTTTAAATAAAACTCTTCACTCCAAGACACAAAACAAAGCATTATTTAAACCGAGCTCTAAAGAGCAGTGAATACTTTGCAAACAAAATGAAATTTTGCACTTGAAGTTAAGCTAATTTTGGAATTACCTGAATGTTCCGAAAATTAGTGTTTTGCAGGCTATGGTCAGACCCAACTAGACCTAAAACATGTTCAGATACCCTGTAGTGATCATGCATTGATGCCTGAGTGGAGAATCACTTTTCAGGTGAACTGTGAGGACCGTACATGATGTGCATGTAGTTTCCAAAGTCTCCAAGGAAACAGGAACAACATGGGGGTGTTAGAATCGGGGTAAAAGGGTCAAAAGAGCCCTGATGCAGTTCATCCAGTTGCTTTGCTGCCAAGCAACAGGGATTTTAGTCAAGGCAAGGATTTCTTACGGTGTTGACATGCTTCCTAAGTTAATTCTCCCTCCACTAGGGAGCAAGAAGACCTTTTAGACACTGCCTGGGTAGAAAAGGATAAAATCCGCATAGCTAAGGAGCTTTTCATAGCACTTATTTTTCACATTTGACATGTGAATTATTATTATTTGCACATAATAACATCTGCATTCTAACTCCCCTGGACACTGAGACAACTGGCCCCATCTGCTGAAACTACCTCGGGTGACAATGACATCAGAGAATAATTTAAAAATAAAAACCAAAGTGTGTGAATGAAATGAGATATTAATTTAAAATCTAAATTTAAAATAAAAGCACCCAAAGTGAAGGAATATTTTTTGTGAACTTCTCAGTCTACTTTGTGAATCTAAGAGAAAGAGACCTACCTCAAGGTTCACTACTATATCCTATCCTGTACTCTCCAAAATTGAACACACATATGAGCTGGAGAAATGACAATGAAATAATAAATCCTTCTTAAGGGAACCGAAGACACCTCATAGGGGTTTCTTCCATGATTTTAAAGAAGTACAATAATTTCTAGGAGGGAAGTGGGTAGGGGGAGAAAATCTAGAGAGGTCAACTGACTTGCTAAAATCAGTTTGGTTTTTATGGCCCATGTGTTTTCTAATTCATGATGAGATAATAATATTCTATGTTTGCCTAGATTTTTGCACCAAACCCTCATATTTTAATCCTTTGACGCTTGGCTTCTGTTCTGCTTCCCTCGCACTTGTGAAACTGTTATGTGAAGAACACGGAGTTTTCTTTAATTCTCACCATACTCTAACATCTTTGTATTTGGCCATATTGCTCACTCTGCCTTTTGCAATCTTTCTCTTTTATAGAGTGTAGCACCAGTGAGCTCACTTGATTTGCCCACCATCATTATTATCCATTTTCTCTTTCCTTCGCTGGGTCCTTTTCCTTTATCAAGGTCATAAAGGCATGGTTTTTCATATGCCCTCTCTCCTCACACACTTGTATGCATTCTTTCACTTAGCAATTCATTTCTTAGCTAAGATTTTAAATAAAATCTATTATAAAATAGAATTAATGTGTGCATTGCATCCCCAGCCCTCAACAATAACTGAGTAAAAGATGCCCGTTTCCATGATCTTCAAAGTCACCACATTAAGCACCATTTTCCTTCTTTTATCCCCCAGGTCTTAATCAGATCCCTCCTCTAATTTCTTGTTTCTATTCATAAGATCATCATTTTCTTTAGTCCAATGGGCTTGAGACCTCAACAGTTGACTCTTCTCTTTTTCTTTGTAATTATTGCAGATATGCATTCAATAGGCTGTCACGCTGATTCAGCCTCTATAAGTCCATTTGCATGTATGTTCTCTTTCAATTTCCTTGTTTACTGCACTAACTCAAACCCCCAGTACTTCCCACAATGCCTTCGGCTCCTTATTTTCCCCACGGTGCTTGTAATACCATATCCCAAGTTTCAGATGTACAAACAGTCTAGTAATAGAACAGGTGAGGAGGTACAGCTAATGCAATTTATTGGTAAAACAAACACAAGGGACATGTAGACACAGCTCTGAGGCAAGATGCAGTAGATAAATACAGTCAGAACATCGTTAAACTAGGAATTTTTAAAACATCTGGATTGAAGAGTATGTATTTTTTTCCTAGAAAGATTGTTCAATGAGACTTCTTCTAACTAGTGGATGATAAAAATATCAGAAACAGAAGCACAAAAGAAATATTTTGAGACTCATTGTGGGTTCCACTGAAAGAAGTATCTGCTCATCTAGCTGATAAAGTGAAATATCAAGGGAATGCTTTTTATTTCCCTAACATGGAAGACAAGAGGAAGAAACTAGAGGCGGTCAAATTAATTTTTAAAAAAATAATAAAACTCATCTGGTCTTCAACACACAGAAAGATCCAAACTACCAGACCTTTCTAATGTAACTTCAGCGCAAATGCCCATGTTGAACTATAATATCCACTTGTTATGAGGATAGAAAGCTTCTCAGAGTAAACAGATCCTGATTGTGACTTACCCATTTTTACTAACTGCTAGTACCTGACCACTCAAAGTGTTGTCCAAAGACCAACAAAACTGGCATCACCTGGGACTTTTTAAAAAATAATGAGGGGGCTCCTGGGTGGCTCAGTCAGTTGAGCGGCCGACTTCGGCTCAGGTCACGATCTCGCGGTCCGTGAGTTCGAGCCCCGCGTCGGGCTCTGTGCTGACAGCTCAGAGCCTGGAGCCCGTTTCGGATTCTGTGTCTCCCTCTCTCTCTGACCCTCCCCTGTTCATGCTCTGTCTCTCTGTCTCAAAAATAAATAAACGTTAAAAAAAAATTTTTTTTAAAGAAAAAAAAAAATAATGACCCTCAGGTCTCATCTGCATTTTAACAGGATTCTTACGCATAATAAAATTGAAAAGGCTGTGCTCTACAGAATACTCACAAATGTGCAATCTTGCAAAAAAACCCCACAAAAAACAACAAAAAAACCCCACCTTCCATTCTGTAAAGTCAAACAGCATAATCTAAACATCTCAAGCCATGCCTCATCTCCTATCCTGCAACAGCTTTAGATACTATTGATAGCCTCCTTCTAGAAATCCTCACCTCACATAGCTTTCCTAAAGAAACAGCTACCTCTCCAGCTACTCCTCCTTCCCAAATATAGATCGACTATCTCCACCCCCTAAATTTTGTACCATTATCATGAATATTTTCAAAATTGTAATCCTAGGCAACAGGCGATCTATTCTTCTATTCTTTTTACCTCAGGTGTTCATTTTATAGTCAAATCTCAACCCTAACCTCGAGGTCTCTTTCCTTTCCTAAATATCATCTTGACATCCCCTAGATATTATACCTGGATCTATCACCTAGATTTCTCCCAGATATTCCCAAAATGTTCATAACAATTCATTCCCCTTCTTTCATACCATCCTCCCTCTTTGTCATGTAACTTGACTGTCACCATTTTTTCTGTTGAACAGTATGGCATTGCCTCAGTCATTACCCACTACTTGCTTTCTCTGTCAGTCATCTCTCCCACAGAGCCTAATAACAGCTCTTCTTTGTTATCAGTCCATTTTTTATTTCCACACAAATCAGATCATTCTTCTCATAATCAACAGAATGAACTTTCCCAAGACAGAATGAATGTCAACCCCTTTTCTTGAAGTTGCTATTGACTCCTCATTGCCCACAGGGTAAAATCCAAGCCCTGTGACTTGGTGTGCAGCGTTTCTTTCTGCTTTCTCAGATTCTTTACAGCTTTGTCTCCTCTGTACATCTCTGCTCCGTTTTCTCCACTGTCACCACACCTCTGCTCCGTATCTATAACCTCTTCTCCCACGGGCCCATGGCTTTCTTCATGAGGTTTCCTTCATCTGAAAGACCAATCCTTCTCTTCCCTATATTACAAAACCTTACCGCTGCTTCAAAATCCTGCTCAAATGTCACCTTTTGTTGAAGCATCTCTCAAGTTTCCCAAAGTTAGTTTCGTCCTCCCATGGTCCACAGGTCTTAATTCTTCTCTAATTAGTAGGTTAATATGGGAGTTTATCACGATATTTGCCTGTGTCCTGAGCAGATGTATCGTTCACTAGGACAGGAATTGTGTTATGTCAACTTTTGCATTCTAATTCCTCTCATGGGGGTGATATGTGTTTAATCACTAAATACTTGACTGATATTAATTGAGTGTTATTTTTTGAACAAAGGTATGTTATATCCCCAACTTTTATGCAGGAGGAATCGTTTTAAGAATGGATATATTGGAAGTATATTAAAGGATGGAACAAAAAGACACTCATTTTCATTGTGTCCTTAGTAAGTGATCAGCAGTTCACATTTATTTTCTCACTTGTTCCTTACAATAGTCCTGCAAAGGTGAG